TCTCCTGATGTGTATTTGTAATCAGTATTTCATGGCTTGCCGTTAGTTTAGTAAGGTATAAGGCCACCTTTGAATTTTTATATTTGATGACATCATCCGGCTGGTCTAGTGTTTGCGTTCTTTAAAAGCTATAAAATGAAGAAAACTCTGGGGAAAAAAAAGCATAATAGTGCGTAGTTTTCTACAACCTATTTTACGGTTAAAGTAAAATTTCCCTACTAAACATTATTTTATAGACATATTAAATAATTGATTAATATGCCTTTGTAAAAGTTATTATTTGCGGCAGCCAATTGAAAATTTTAAGTTCTTTATAATAGGCGATCTCCATCTCGTTAGTCAAATTACCCTCCTGGCCCTGGTTGTTCAAAAGATGGATAGCGCTATCAACTGGATAAATCGCTATCCAGTGGATAGGTGTTAGGAAAACCAATTGCACTATCAGCAGTGAATACAGATTTATCCGATCATGGCCGATGGATTACCGTTATCCACTTTTTGAACGAGCGGGGCATGGTAAATAGCTGATGCCGGCCGTGGGCTGATGACATTTACGTTTTAGTCCATTAGCCGGTCGCGGGCCGTTAATTAATTGTTCCATTTGACAGTATCGATAACAAAATTAAAACTTGATGTGCTTGTCAGTAAGCAGAAGAGAAATTCGGCTCGTGATCGGTAAAACCCAGTGCACGCTGAGCTATTGCGAATATCAAAAATTATTCGTAGAATCTACTCTCAGGAAACTGCATGGTAAGAAATTTCATATTTTGCAGTTTTGACTTTTTTATGTTTCTTGGCAAAACTCCAAGTGCTTGTTTCTTACTTTCTGAGGTTCTTTTTAAGTTTGCTCATGGTAATATCACTGGCTTTAATATACGGGTCTTTTATTTTCCCTAGTTTTAACGATCAAAGATTTTCTTTAACTTTTAATACACTTACTAAGATTAGTATTTGGCGGGATGTGGGTGGAGAGAAATACCAAATTAAAGTGAAAGTTTCAAGCAATTCTGGTTTCAGTAAGAAATTTTTGTCGTCTGAGTATCTTCCGGAGTCAATATCTCTTCACCATCTGTAAACCGTTAATTGACGAACCTTTATTTATAGAAGTTACAGCTCTACTTTTCAACAAAAGTAAGAGTCCTTTTTTAAAACTCTTATTTTCCGTCTGATCATATGAATTATGCTGATTTTTTTTAAGATTAGCGTTGTCATGGGAATGCAACAAGAACCGGTGCAATGGGCTGATTCTGAGCGTAATTATCTGATTAAAGATTTAAAGAGAGAAATTGATTGAAGCTTAGGCTTGTGTTTAAAATTTTTTCACCTATGTTCTATACACTATCTATAGCCCCCTCATTGTTAGCTTCCCGCGCGAAAAATAGGATGTTCTGAGTTTGATTCCTTTTTTCGTTTTTTTCGATTTTTGTCATAATTGCGTTTTGTTTTAATTTGTTGTTTATATAATTATTGTATATTCTTATTATACTTGTATATTTTTTTTTCCTTACTGACCTTTTTCCCTTTCCTTCTACTTCTCGCCGTTAGAACCAAAAAAATGGGCATAATGATAAATTGATGGAGAATTGTTGGTTCGATTCAAGAACTGCCAGCTGAGACTTTTGACGAAATAAAGAGGAGTGAAGGTCACGCTGTTAGCGGAAAATACTGATTTTCCACTATAAAATCTGGTACATCTGTTCTGGCTTATTGCAATATGAAGACCAACGGTGAGTTTAGTCAGTTTCATAATCGTCGACTGATTCTTGAGCCCTCTAACAAATGCAACTTTCCTTTTTGTCTGTTATTTGTCATGACAACTGAAAAGATAAAATGAAAAAATCTTCGGGTTTTTTATTACGCCGCATCGCTGACTAAGGTTAACCAGGAGATGTAAACTACTCGGACACACAAAATAAGACTTGGAAAAAGGAAATTTTAAGAGCAAAAACTCAGGTTAGATTAGTCTGCTACACAGCCGTGTTTTAATGTCGTCGCATAACGATCGACAATAAGAACTTTAAGATCCAACGACGCGGACGGCAACAAGAACGTAAAAAAACGATAGGTTTAATGAGTAAAACAACAAGTCTTCAGGTGGCATAACTCTTTTTTGTACGTTTCTTTGCCCGTTTTTGCACGACCACGACGTGAAAATGCCTAGTTTCGCGTTTTATGGAGTACGTAAAGAAGCAACTACGAAAGTTTGTTTCTGTCTCTGCACTTGGATATGGTCCCTAGGAATTCAACTCCAGGAGGGTTCCCCTACATTTGGCAAAGTAAGTGGGTAGGAATAATTGCGATAAAGACTAAAAGAACGCAAATTCACATTTTAAGCGACGTTCTCGTTGCCGTCGGAGCCTTGGATCTTTAAGTCCCTACTAAAAACGGCTTCTAGCAGACGTATGTTAGATAGGACTGAGTACTCTTGGGGTCTTATGTAGGGGTAAATGTCGCTCAATAATGTTTGTTTCTGTAGACATTGACGAATGTAGTGCTTCTTCTCCTGTATGTGACATCAACGCTAACTGCTCAAATACTCGTGGATCTTTTTACTGCACCTGTAAGGAAGGGTATACGGGCGATGGAATAACTTGCTAAGGTAGGAGAAAAAACTTTTTTATATATAAACAAGTTAATTTGAAGGGAAGTTAGTTTACTCCGGCGAATCAAATCAAACAAAATCGAACCAAAATTCAGTCTCCCCGATTAGTAAGGCACTGTGCCTGAGAAATAAGACATGAGACTTCATTATCATTATTGTTATTGTTATAAAATTCAATCGAACCCAATCGAACACCAATTGTTCTATTGAGTTCGGTAATCGAATATAATCGAACATCTATTTTGCTGAGTTCGATTATTGAACCAATCGAATAAAATATAATGCAATCGAACTCAGTCCGATTCGATTTTGTTCAGAATGCATTTCTTGATAAGTAGATCACGCTGGAGTAATTATGCACATGAGCAACCAAAACGCTGTCGCCATAATTCTTTCTAAGCCCTCAAGGGCGGCCAAGAGTGACGTGACAGGATCGAAGAGGATTAGGGGGACTGGTCACCGTACAAAATTTCCGCAAACTATACACTTGTTAATAGGGTAACATTTAGGCTTTTTTTTTTTGTTATTACTTTGCTTTTCATCCGTTTTAATATTTAATCATAAACAACAAGCAAACAGGAGTTCAGCAATGGCAAGTTTAATTGAGTACGACTCGTTGATCGTTCGGTAATCAAACGTTCGATTATGTTCGATTACTGAACCGTTCGATTAGATACGCCGGGTTTACTGCAGTACCATCAGAGATAGGGCAGCTCGATCCAGAGACGTGTGACATAATTTAGTATTTATTGATCAGATAGATTACCACTAAAAGTGGCAGGGCAGCCCGGATAGAAAGCCAGGGGGCTTATTACATTCAGGCTACCCAGTTACAAACAAAATTCAGAGTTATTTAAGTATACCTAAATGACAGGAGTAAGCTAAGTATAAGTAATAAGGTTAAGAAGTATAATTATCAATCAACAATCGTACAACTCTACCTGCAAGGCAGGATACAGTGGCGATGGAAAAACTTGCCAAGGTTGGAGAAAATACTTTATTTAACAGGGTTTGAACTAGGTATAGTTAGTTTACTACTCTACCATTAAAGATGGTAGTTTTCTAGGAAAGTGTGACATCATTTAAGATGTCGACTAGTAATGAGATCCGCATTATAGTTTCTCAGTATTACACAACATCGGGATGCTTGTGGACCACGTTTCTTTTAGGGGCCGCGCGTAAATGTAACCTTTAAAGTCAGTTACTTAACAAAAGTGATGTTTTACTAGATTACTTAGCACCATCCTCCGTCGAAAGGCCCACCTACTAGCACGAAAGAGAAACCTAAGAAAAAAGAAAAGGGAAATTTAAAAAAAAGTGCATCGTGCTATACATGTAGCTACTGAAGACTGCACGTTTTTGTTGATGACAGCACTAACAATGAGCAGCCAGATGAAAACTCAGCAACATTTTGTTTCCCTTTTGAGGAATTTTAATCCCCCAGTGCTTTCCGCATGGATTGGACAGGACTGAATATATCCATTAGGAAAGTTATTTTTTACCAAATTTTGTTTTTCTTAGACATTGATGAGTGCAGTGCTTCTCCTTCTGTATGTGACATTAATGCCATTTGCTCCAATACTCGTGGATCGTACCACTGTATCTGCCAGGCTGGATACAGTGGCGATGGAAAAACTTGCCAAGGTAGGAGAAAATACTTTATTTATAATCTAAAGGTCAGTTAAATAAAGAATGGCGGTTTTCTGGAGCTCGTTCTCGTAATTTTTATATTTAACCTTGAATACAAACTACCGCCCCCTCAGCGAATTTTAAAAAGCGAAAAGCCGAACAAAATGAGTGAAGGAAGGATTACACCATGGTAGGACACGATGGACGGACCGAATGTGCATTGATTTAACCAACAATAGAAATGAAGATAAACTCTTACAAGATTCTGACGACTGCCGAGTTAAGGACAAATAGGCGGAAAATTGGTATCATGGAGTTATAGTTGAAATGCTAGATTGAAAAAGGATATGAAGATCTTGGAAAAGTCAGCACAAAATCTTACAAAAAAACTTATGATCTAGTGAAAACAGCGTTCCCATTCCGCTTACAACTCTGTCGCTTACGTTGCGCTTACTAATGAAAACCGGATTGTCGCAGTCGGAAGCAGAAGAGGAAGAACTAAACGAATCACAAAGCGTGTAAACGTGCATTGTGATTGGTTTATCCTTCCGCTTCTGCTTCCGACTCCGTTAATCTGGTTTTCACTAGTTCATAAGCGGAACGTAAGCGACGGAGTCGTAAACGGAGTTGGAAGAAATGGAAACATTCCGATTCGTAAGAAAGCATTTTTATCATAAATTCAGTTAAATGTCTCGTGAAGACGATTTCAGAACTTGGTCATAAAGTATCAGTGCCGCGCGCAACGCCAGTCGTAAGTGTTGCGTCGAAATACGAGGCCAAAAACAGGTGTTAAGCGGTCAATCTGTGAAAAGTAACGCAATCTCCGTCGCCGTTTGAGAGCAGCCAAAGATGCTCTTGCCGATGCTGTCCTTGATCCCCTTGGTTTTTTAATTCCAAGATCTAGGAAACCCATGGTAAGGTATGAAACATACACTCATAGGCATTGTTCTGTTCGGTAAAATTTGATTCCTAGACGCAAAAACGTTGTGATTGTTGAAGTTTATCTGGTTTATTATAGCGCTTTGCCCTTTGACAAACTTTAAATACGTGACTCGTGCACTTTGCAAGAGTTGACAGCGTAAATTTGCCTTTCTTGTGAGCAAATGATTTTAAGTCATATGAGATCGCTGGATAAACACATATTGGTTTGTGAAAGCTGATAACATCAAACCACTGTTGCTGAAACTGATTTCTTTTCGTGTTTTTCCGAGTTTTTAGCATCGGCCCGCTTAGCGAGGAAAGCTCAAATTTCAGAAAAGTACTACTTGTAATTTTTGGCCTCAAAAAATTTTCTTTTAAGTTGCCCATAGTTTTGAAAACAGATTTTGAAAGAAGAGATAACGCTCTTTAACGTGGTGAAAAACTCTTTAGTGAAATCGAGGTACCAGTCGACGATTTTGGGCTTTGAAATTTGCCATTTTTTTTGTCGAACGAAAACGTTCAAAATATTGAAAATAATGAAAAATCTCCAAAATATTACATTTTCGTTCGAACTGAGTAAATCACCCCTTAAAACGTGTATAATTATGTACTTTTCTGAATAAGTTATTTGTTGTTCGCATTACAATTGATTTGATTTTAAAAACGATTTTTTCATGACACGCCATCTCGGGCCTGTAAAACCCCGGTCCGAGAGCCTCGAAACCAATAACCCCACCGCACGTCTAAAATAATTATCGGATCGAAATAAAAATTACATTTATGTTAACAGCTTACCTAGTGCTACTTTGTGAATTTTTTTGAGAATTTTCGATTTTTCACTTTTGTAGACCTCTGGTCGATATCTACTGACATCCGCTCTTAAAGACCTTCTAACTATCCACGTGAATATGTTTCTCTTCAACGGGACGATATACAAATGGTATATTCCTTCTTGTTACTTTCGATTCACACGTAAGCATCCTTTTAGTCATAGCTTAATTACCATGGTGCAAAAACACAGGTGTCAAAGATCGCCCATAAAGCTTCTCCCTTGGGGATCGTGGGATGGCATTGTTTCTGCAGCTCCCGCACAAGCTAATATCGACTTTCGAATGCTGTATTTAGTTAATTATTCGGCGTAGATATAGGCTTAATAACTTCACGCAATAATTTTGTGTTCGTTCCAAATCACTTCGCCAGATGACCTGAAATGACCCGTCCCCTCTCCTCAGAAATCGGCCCCATTGAAGAGGAATGGGACACGCAAAGTCTTCTGGGAGTTCCGTCCGCCTTTTTGTCTTTTTGCTGCACAGACGAGTTGGCCTCCATTTTATGATTGGGCGTTGCCCTCACGGGCCGCCCAAGTATAATAAAAAAAATTCTGTCTACAGCCACTTCAACAGAAATCCCTAACCACAAAAAACGAACGAAAAAAAAAAAACCTGAGCAAACAACTCAGTAAAGAAGCTATTAGACAGGGGAAGTTACGAGAAATTACAAAATGTTTGCTATAACCCGTTTTTTTTCTTTAATTTCACTTGAAACACTGCCAGGCTCCATTTTGTTCAGTATCCAGTGGATAAGCCACTATCCAGTGGATAACGCAATTGGTTTCGCGTACTACTCGGTCTTTCTTTGCTCTGAAAAACCAAACGAAACGCTTTCTACGCAGGCTGAAGGACAGCCGGCCTTCTTAGCTGTATATCTCGTCACTATTTTCCTTCCGAAACACGACATGGAGGTGTAAAAGCACAGGCGTGATTATACAGAATGCCGATTCTTGCTGGCTTCATCTGCTTTCTGTGGTCCCTACAACGGTAGAATCCGCGCCAACAGAAAGCCAGAATAACCTTACCTTTAAAGGAAACTTCTTGCAAGATAAACAACTACAATTGTAAATGCTTTCACGCTAGAACCAAGCTTGAGAAAATAGCTACGGGCATAAATATAAGACCACGTCAAGAGCCATAATAGGACAGAGAGGGAGTGTCCCAGTCACGCCTTTGGGATATTTTAATTTCAAAAAAGTTATTTTTAGAACTATGCGGACCATGCGAAAACAGTTGCCGGTAAACTGGTTGACTTCTTTAAGATTCAGCACGCCAAAGCGAGGCGGGGTCAAAAAATGAAAAAAATGGCCGCTTAAGTGGAGGGAACGAAGAACTGGCTTAAACTTCTACACAAACGGTTCCTTTACGAGCAAGGGTACAAAATAATACAGTTAAAGCGACCGCGTTTTTGTTGGAACAGCTGGAAAGAGGACAAGTAGCATTGCGGCCGGAATAAGCGTTGAACACAAAATGGCGGCCAGCGGGTCCTACAAAGACGACCGTACAAGCGACTGTGTAGACGTATTTTCTGTTGACTCCCGAGGAAGGAAAAAAACCTATAAAGGGTTCAAGTATTTTTTTCAAGGACGTGACCAGGAATCTTGGGAACACACCTTTTCCTGCTTGACTGATATTTTTTTCCGCACTTCACATTGGACAATTAACAATTTAAACGCACTTACTCTTTGAACACGAGGTGAATAGAAGCTGAATATTCGCGGCGACGTTAATAATCCTAAAGCCACTATTCACTGAGATTGAAAAGAGTCTCAACAAAACCAGTAAGGAAACCATTCAAGTTCAATTGATGGATCAATTCATGTGTGAAAATCGGTATGCGCATACGTTTGATCTTTACAGAATCTTCACAGAATTTTCAAACATTGCAAGTCAAATCACGCTTAAAAAATCCTTTCGCAAACAATAGTCTAATGGGTTATATGGAATGGCCAGAAGTTTAAATTGTGCCTCCCAGCCTGTTTATTGTGCAGCTTGCGCTGTCCTTTGTAAGTGCAAAATGGTGGCCCGGTTCCTTAAGGCAAGGCGCCGTTGTTTCTTGTAGTTTTCTCTGTCGTGTTTAATTGAAATCTCGAGTTTTCGTAAAGATTTGCTTGTTAAGGGGTATTTTCATCGTGTTAATAAAGGTTTCAACCAATCATAAGAGTTGCAAACAATGGCCAAGAAAAGTTGACATATTAATTTCACGTTCCTCACATGGGATATCTGTTTTATTCAGACCCTTATAAGGATTCACATACATGCTCCTTTGCAAAGTTTTCTTGAAACCAATCAGAAATATAACACAGACAATAGCAAAGTGAACACTTTTTTGCATTTCAACATGTTTAACCATGGAATGTACTGAAATATTAATGTTGCATCTTGAAGCCGAGTCTGCAGGCAGAACAAGTTTGTGTAATCTTTTGCTTGTAAGGCATCCACCATGACACCTCAATTTTTCCCTTTAAATAATCTAAACCCACATGTTGGTCCCGGACAATGATTGATCCGAGCCTTGTGCAACCACTAAGACATCACAAGAAATTGAGGTTGTTAAACTGATCAGTATTGAGGATATAACCTTCATTAAGGAAGGCTTTAAGTTAAAAATGGCAGCATCACTGTAAAATAAAAATCTATAAGAACTTCCTTTGGTAAAACCTGGACCTCTTAATTAGGTCAAGTTTCTTTAGAAAACTCATCTAAAAACAACAAAAAGTGTAGTACCCAGGTGAGTTAATCAATTTTTGCAGATGGGTTGAGAGAGACATTCTGGAGCAATAAAACATAGTGTGTGACAATCAATGTCTCTCAGTGTCTTCTTGCCCTGGCTTGAAAGATGTTATGTTAAGGAAAGCATCTAGAAGGAGGCAAATATTAATATCAATGTAGTTTGTATGAAAACGTGTGTCACTCAGTTCAGTGGTCACACTCTTCCTAGTATTCCTCAAATTTCAAATCCCAAATGCCTCGGCAGCCACATATTTTAACAAACTTATGAAACATAAATAAATAAATAAGTGCTCCCTTGCCCCAAATTATAGAACCTGCACTGTTTGTCAAACTTGTACATCATTTTACCCACTATCGGTTTTGTGGCAAGGTCATGACACATCTGAAAAGAGAATTTATGATTGCTAGTATTATTGTTCTTTCAATTCAACCTGTCAGAAAACAAGAGAAAAAATTGCAGACAGTGAAAGACATACAACATAAAAATGATGTACTATGAAACCTTCACATGTTGTATATGATGATTTATAGCAGAGCTCTCGCGCGCGAAGCGCGCGCAGCGGAGCACCATGGGTAAAAAAATGTGGTAAACTACCCATCGGAGAAAATTTAGTAATCACGTGACCGTACACCGACCGCCCGCCCGCCCGACCGTCCGTAAGCCTTGCATAAGGATTCAGTTCCTCTCTATTGGCACCCTCACTCATTCTTCTTTTTACAATTTATTTTTTTGCATGTAAGATCAAGTTATAAATAAAGATCCTGTATAATTAGCCGGACATCCACACAACCTTCGGTTCTGCCAGGAGCCGATTACTTGAAGCCTCCATACCTGCTGTACCCTTGAGTCAACCCATTCCCGTAAAAAATTATTTTTGGAACAGGCTTTCCCGCGAAATTAATTTTAATTAATTGTTTTCGAGGATGTCCGCATATTTCTGTAGTGAGAAAAAAATGGCGACGAAAGAGGGAAATTGGCCAACAAGTTTACTCCTTGTTCCATCACCGTAGCTCCTGCCTCCGTTCCTTCCCTTACAACCGAGGAAGGCTGGTTTCGAGTTAATATAAATAATATGTAATCTGGCTTAAAAATATTGCTATATTTTGTTGCAACGCACGAGGTCGTGTTTGCTGTTGTAGCACCGTTCGGATGTTTAAATTTTGCTCGTAATGTTGTATTCCATCGCCGTTATTTTAAAGGAGCTTTTCAAAGAAATAAAAAGTGAAACTGTTTGTTGGAGAGCCAGACTTTTTAAAAGGAAATTGGAGCGCTCACGGTAAGGTCTGTATGGAACCGGCAAATCGGAGGCAATTTTGCGCCTTCCGCGGCCTTTGTAAGTAGAAACTGTCGTGTCTTCTGTGTCTTATCTACCGCAACCTGGGACAGCGAAAATCAAGATGTTTTCTCATGATTTTGAAGGATTTCATTTAAAGAAGCAAAACGTCGAAGTGAAGAAAGGTATCGGCTTATGTTGTCCGGATTTTTATTTATTTTGATGGTGTTATATAAGTTATCATTTAGTTGCCACAAGACATGAAAGCTACAAAAACCCTTTGAGTGCAGAATTATCAAACTCAGGAAGAAATTAAACACTGTTTGGCAATCACATTATTTCTCAAGATGCTACAAGATTTCATGGCCGCAGCATATACTTCTAGACCTCAAATAACCGCAAAAGAAATATGCAGGAGGACGTGACATGTCGAAACATATAACTTCCGCTGTGAAACCTTTAAGAACCTTTCTTTCATTCAAGGATTCTAATCTTTCGAAGTCGCTAGCCCCATCGGCTCACTCCTTTTTTAAATTTTATGACTGCCTGTTATTTTCCTTGTTTACATGTTACTTAGTTTCTTAGTAGCAAGAGAAAAATACCAGGCTCAGTAGATTCTGTATCGACAGTTGTATTGTGTGAATGAAACCCTCAGTATGTTAGGTACACAACAGTAAATTTCGCTTTTAATTCGATTTCATTCGTGTTGAACATCTCGTTTGTTTTGTTTGATATGTGCACTTGAAATATTTGCCGTTGAGATTGTATGTTATCAAAAGCTGTTTTCATCCACAGCCACATTAAATTGGCTTATAAAACTCCGTTCATAATTCGCGACCTCAGATCTCGCACAATTACAACCGCCGCGCAAACGGAAGATGCGGTCCGTGTTCGATCTATAACACAGTTGGAACAATTACTTCAAAATTAACTGTGGGTTGATGCAGTGTGGTCCTTTGTGGAATTAGTAAAAAGCTCCAAAGCATTGCACAAGTGAGTTAACCAGTAAAGTAAAGTAACTAAAGAGCTTGATTTTCAATATTTATTTACCCGCTGCCGAGGGCCGGGACTGGGTGTTCGTGATAAAACTTACGATATGCAGCCAACTGTCAAGATTACAAGTAAACTTGAAGACGTCGCATGGGTGTATCACCTTTTTCTTTTTGTTTTTAGGCTTTAAGAGGTCCTGCGCCTAAGAAACGACCGATGATTTCCGGCTAAAAAATAAAATCGGCCGATTTTTATCTCCCAAGTAGAGGTTACCGAATACTATTCAAAAATGAATTTCTTTTGTTTCAGTTTCACTTTTAACCAAAAATATCGAGCCGCAAACTTTTTCCGTCTGATAGCAGCAAAATCAGGCCTAAAAATAAGCCCTCGCAAAAAACGGTTCAGAAATCACTATCGCAACGCAAAATAACAAGAAAACCACACAGTGTTGAAGAGAAAGGCCTTTTAATGCAATATCATTCGATAAACATCGAAAAACTGCCCAAGGGAATAAAAAATAAATTTTCAAATATTGCATATTAAATTAGATGGAGCGTTGGAGCTGATTTTAAAATAATTATTTCTCAAAAGTTCAACGCTGTTGAAAGCAATCACAGTGATGAATCAGACATTGGAGGGATATACATTACGATTCAGGAAAAACATTTTTCGGCCAAAGTATATTGGCGTTGTACAAAGCGTTCAAAGTTGCAGTGTTTACCGTTATCTTGCTACTTCGGCGAAACACTTCTCTGTTGCCAATACGGCCGTAGATAGCGTGGTAAACGCCACTTTAATCCTTGCTAGGTGCTCAGAGACCATCCTAAGTAGAAGGACGTAGAATTAAAAGAGAAAGGAAGATGAAAAATAAGCAGAAAAAGAAAACAACTCGAAATTACCATCTGCTGACGAAACTTGAATCTGGAAAATGTCGTCGCGTGACAGCGGCCAATGACGTCATTTGTCTAAACTGCGGCGGAATCTAAACGAATGCACAACTTCTTCGCGGCCAGAAAGCACTTAGTGAAACAATGTAATGTTATTTTTTCACAAGTACAAGCGATGCCAGGTGACTTAAAAGAAAAAATTCCCGTTCCGCCGCACCGTTTTGGCCTCAGCGTGATCTGATCTTTGTGGGGTCACGAGTCGACGCTTCTGGCCAGCGGTCTATTGAAAGAAATCTGACCCCATCTTTTTTTTTTCGGGCGAGAATCATTCATGTCAATGTCCAATGTATTCCTTCAAGTAAAAAAAGAGAGAGATATTGGAGTACTGTTGCTCGCGAGAACGACGAACATCTTGGTCCCGAAAACTGAGTTCATTACGCCCAAGAATTACGTTTTTTTTTTTTTTTCCAAGGACTAGTATGTGGCGCTATAAAATGTAGCTAACAGATTCAATTCTTGGCACAATGATTAGCCTCGCGTTTAGTATTTTCTTGGACATCAAAGTATCGGGGGTGACGCTATTGGGTGCAATGGCGGACTGACGGAATGACGGAACGGAATGATGGAATACATGGAATATTCTAAAATATGGAATATACGGAGTACTCTAAAACGCAGAATAAGAGAAAAATCGTTTAAAAAAGGTAAACATGTGTACAGTCGGCTCCAATAACTCGAACTCTCGCTACTGACTCGAGCCTCGTGCTAACTCGAAGTAATACTAATTTTTGTTTCTCTTCAGATCATTTATATATAATTTTACCCTCATTAACTCGAACCATGTTTTAGGTGTGTGACAAGTAAAAGAATTGACTTACCGTAATGATTCGATTTAGCGCCCAGGCGCTTATTTACTTTTGGTGCCTCTAGGGAGGACGCTTATTCGGGACAGGGCGCTTATTTCTTTTTTGAGAAACAGCCAAATGTTAAAAAAAAGAACTTTGACATTTATTTCAAAACAAACAATATTTAAAACTGTAGCAGTAACAAATACTGACGGTGAATGCGCAGTTAATGTGAGGGACTTACCTTGAAACTTGTTGGGCACTTTGTTGATGGGACTTTTCTTCCTTATATTAACCTTTCTTAAAAAAACTCGCGGTGAGAACAAAGTGCAAGTCGATTAAGGTAATGGATCAAGGACACTGGAAAACGGACTTGTTGTCCCTGGATCCTTCCTCGCTAGAACGACCAGCCGAGCAATCTCCACAATATTTGAAGAAGAGATCATTCCTTTGAAGACTTTATGCACTCACATGGATATAAGACCACTGTTTTTATAATGTGGAAATACCGTTCGGTTGTGAGCTATTAAATGAAGATGAACCTCGGTTGATACGCACCCGTACTCTTCCATAATATTAGAATGGGGGCGCTTATTAACGAAACACATTTCAAGGGGGCGCTTATTGGAAGGAGGGCGCTAAATCGAATCACAGTTTTGGAGGCCGTCTTGACGGGTAAGCAACCACCTGAAAATATACAGTGTTGAGTGTAATTTCTTTCCTTCTTGCCGAATAAAATTTCCCAGGAAAAATTGCGGACAAATGTCTGGAAAATCTAAAGCAAGCGACCGGACAAATTTAGGCACGGGTGCGGCCCCCATTAATTGTTAGTACAATCCTGTCAAGCTTAAGTTTACAATTCTTTTTTGTTACACTGGACGAAAAAATGGATTTACTAGGGTAGCCAAATTACAGCAAATGTGTAGCAAATACCACATTTGCACAATTTTGCGCAAGAGCAAAGACTGATATTGCACTAGATTTGCTATCCGTAGCAATGACGGTAAATGCCACATTTGCACAACATTTACATCTTGGTGCAAAGATAATGGGCAGCCATGGATTTGAGGGTCATTTGCAGATGGTTCAAATGTGTAGGCAAATATGTTTCTTTGAACTATATTTGCACATTACGCAAATGATAGCGCAAATCTGCTGTTTTGCACAGCTTTTGCTTTAGATGTAAAAGCATGTAAACCTGTTATTTTCAGAACGTTTACGCAGCTTTACAAATGTGAGCGAAGTATCTAATTTGAACAATGTTTGCTTGGGTTATCATGGGTGATCAAATTTCCATAATTGAACCAGATTGCTTTGCATGGCAAATGTAACCAAACTCTTTGTATTAAACATGTTTGCTCACGAAGCAAATGTTAGCAAACCTAAACTTTGAACAAATTTTCTAGGGTGTGCAAATTTGATCAAACACAAAATTTTGCTTGTAGCGGCAAATGTGGTCAAAAGTCAAGTTTTGAACAAAGTTGCTTGGGCAGCAAATCTGATCAAACTGGTAGTATTGTACAATTTTTCGCTCAGGTAGCAAATGTAATCAAATTCTGACTTTAATTTGGTTAGCAAATGTCATCAAACCCATAAAATTGAGCATGTTTTCTCCAGTAGCAAATTAATGTAAATTCCAAGGTTTAAACGAGTTTGCTTGGGTTGTAGCAAATGCGATAAAATTTTAAAAATATTTTAAATTATAATATGGCCCACTTCAGTTTCTTAACAAGTGGCCATAATTAATCAAACATTAAAGTTACTGAAAGAAATTCTAGCAGTGACCTCCCATTAATGTTCAAATGATTTATTCCATAAACCAAAGTGGCTTACACATTATTACAGACATTACAAACTACAGTATAAAGCTGTACATACAGCTCTTCATATTAATTCCCAATTTTACTGTTCGTTGATGTTTACTTGTCTCCACTCTATGCTCTATCAGATCATTACTAACTATTAATATTATAAGAAAAGTGTTCTTCATCTAAATGTGTAAGATATTCTACATACAGCTGTAGGTGTTTCAGAGTTGCCTCAAACCTATTTCAGTTCTTTAGGTTTTTGCAACTCAGAAACAGGTTAAAAATCCTTTCACCCTTGGACCAATATTTACTTATGACAAGACTATTTCTTACTTAAACTTTTGTATCTAAGGACCAAATCCTGTTTCAACGAAATGGAACCCTCAAGACACCCATTTTAATAAATAATTAGTATTTTTGTATTTATTGCTATTTACAGATTAAACAAAATTTGATTCTGGTGGCATTTTTTCCTTTAGGCTCTATTAGCATGAAAGGCCTAATTCTTGCTACCAATTTACAATTTTTGCTGGTATAACAACTGTGTTATAGCATTTAGCAAACTAAGAAATAGTTTAGGTACATATAGCTATTCAAATTCAGATCAGACTTCTTTAACTTCATTTTCGTTGCTAATGGTTCCTGTATGGTATTGGATATGCTCTTAGAGGAAGTACCAGCCGGAGCTTCTAGTACTTGCCCCGTTCTAAGAAAATTGAGGGTCATGAAAGTAATGACCAGCTATAAGTATTCCACAGCATGTCAACATTACCATTGTCACTGTAGTTGGTCCCAATGAAAGAAGCTAATAATTATTTTAAAGTCAGTATACATGTACATGTAGTACAAAAGGTTGATCTGGCTAGCCTGCAAAATAACTACACTGCTGTCTCTCATTACTCTTTTTCTTGAGTCATGTTGCAATCCTTTGCAAAATTCCGTAATAAATCATGACAAAAAGCAGGGTGTACCTAAATTTGTTTTGTTTTTTTGTTCAAGCAGGTCAGTTGCAAATTTTGCTGTAATCGGTACAAATGTACTGTGAAGTGGTGCCAGCAGAACTCAAATGCCTGCAGTTAAGCAAACAGATTTAAAAGAAACATGTGTACATTAATTGGCCTTTTTAACCTGCTGACTGGTACATTACTTGCAAACAATAGCCAAAGGATTCTAATGAAAAATTTATCACATCAACCAATTTGATCTACCTGCCACCAGATTCTCAGGACAAATCAACACCATCAGGATTTGTACTGTTTACACAGATTTATCTTTTTCTAAAAAACAGTGTCATAAACAGAGAGTGATTAAAGGATTACTGTATTTGCAGAGCTACATGTACATGTACCTGTAAGTATGACCAGTCATAAATAATCTGGAATTTCTTTAAGAGCCTTGGATTAACTTATATTTCCTTATCACAAAGCAAATTCAGGAGCATTATCTGGTGCCTCCTGCTCTGAGGAGAAGCCATTCGTCCTTTCTATCGTCATTGAGTAATGACAAGCTTACATGTGACTGTTTTAATTTTGCTTTACTGTTCAGCTTGGCAAAGAGGTTTTTACAGGCTAAGTTGTTGACTCCTCCATGCTAGAGGCCTCCTGCAAAGCATCTCCTTGGTCTGTATTGCCTTGCTCTGAAGACATGTACTCCACAATTATACAAGCTTTGAACTTACAACAATCCTTCTTCGAAATAGAGGTTGACTGGAAAAGGGTTGTCTCTTCAGCTTTTTCTGCAACAAACAGAAATTATACATAATTGAGACCATTAATATTGAAACTAAAGCTGTAGATGCTTGTCATGAAAAATACTATTGTCCTTTTCTGTCTAAATATTCTAGCCTCTTATAGCAAAAAAGGTTGCTATTAGATATTACATGTATTATTACTGGCTCAGTCACACTAGGTGACTAAACTTACTTATTTCCTGAGTTAACTGATATCAAAATTAACTAGTTTAAACAAATTGCTGGCTTGTAACTTTAATGTCTCAAATCTAACCCCAAGCGGTCATCATAATCCTGATTACACTGTACCTGTTAAAACTAAGACCTTCTTTGAGCAAAAACAAAACGAAAAAATGAATGCGAGAAACCCTTTTGTAACAAGACAATTGACTCCAGGTAAATCATTGTATTAATTTTATAGTGAGTGTCCCACTACATCACTACCATAACAACATTATTGACATATTACTTAAAACTTTATGAACCTGCTTCTTCTGCAATATTGCCATCACTTACAGTGTATCTTGGGAACAAAAGTTTAATTACCGTATTTATTCAATTAACCACCCTGGGCGCTTATTAAATTTTTGGGCCTTGATAGTGGACGCTTATTCGAGGTGGGCGCTTATTCGAGGCTGGGCGCTTATTAAATTTTCGCCATTCTCAGCAAGTGTAGTATGTTTATTTTGCTACAAAATAATAAATGGTAATAACAAAAAGCGAAGAAGTAACAAAGCAAGGTTTCAGCCCAATCTGTAAAATACTCTGAAGAAAACTCCGTCTTCGGGAGGGTCTCTTATTATGTCTTATTTGAGTTTGTGTGGGAGGGAGTGGGGTGGGGTGGGCGCTTATTCGAGGCTGGGCGCTTATTAACTTTTTCTGCCTTTGGGATGGGCGCTTATTCGAGGTGGGCGCTAATTCGAGGTTGGGCGCTTATTCGAATAAATACAGTATACTATAATTGCCTCATATGAGAGAATCCAAGACAGTTTTAGATTCTGGATTCCACGCTGCGGATTCCGGAACCTTTTTCAGTGGATTACTTGGTTTCTGGATTCCAATCGTTTGACTTGTATTTCAGGTTTCAAAGCTCAGAATTTAGGATTCCGCAACAAAAATTGCCCGAATTCTGTATTCCATAAGCAAAAATTTCCCGGATTCCAGAATCCCTTACATGGGGTGATCATAAAAAACAATCAGTGAAAGCAGGGTACCATGATCTAAATTCTAGCTACACTATGTTTTCAGCACCATGGCAGTCACTGCCTTTACTCCCCTTTTAAATTTTGGAAAAGCCTTTGGAGAAAGTAGGCACTAGAGGATAAGGTTAATTTTGGCCTAATAGAGGGGAATTAACGCTTGCTTCAATTCTTATTAAATTTTCCAAGACCATTTATCTGAAGAGAACAACCAAACAAAAGATTACAGTATTTTTTTACAACAACAGGACAAATAAAGTTTCAGGAGTAGGGTGGTCCTTGTTGATTACTGAATATTGGAATGCAAATGTCGGTATTATCAAATAGCATCATTAGCGGCTTAACAGTAACAACGAACTTTCTTATACTTACTGAGCATTTCTTTTACTCCCGATTAGTTGCTCCCTCAGCATTTGTTTGTCCTCAACATTTCTCCTGCCTCTTCTTAGTTTTACAATGTCTGCTAATTAAAACAGCATCGATTCACCGAAATCTATTTACTAAGTACTAACGGCTGCTTTTCTTGGATCCACTCGTTACTACTTGATCGTCGCCGATGGAGATATCTAGATGTCTTTCATGGTGGATTTTCGTCGAAGGATCTATAAGTATGCAGTTCCCTCGAGTTCGAGCGATTATTTTTATAAGTTCTTCGAGGACACATTCGTTCGATAAATTCGAACAAATAAGACTGGCCGATTCCTCCATACTCGACAGTCAACCCCACAAAGAAGGAAAATTCGAAACCTCTTGATAAATATGGCGTTAAACGTACGAAGTAAAAGCTGATGGCAAATCGATGGCAGTGGAACGCGTTAACGGTCGACGAATTTCAATTGTTGTGCCTCGTTCTCGAACGGTTATGCAGACTGTCGCTGACCAGCACCACTGAGGCGCAAATCCTTGGGAAATCGGACGCGCGGTCTTTTGGCGATTTGGCGGGAGGAAGAGGTTGCCTATGTTGCTGGATTTCTTCTCAAGGATGTTCGAAATTTAAAAGGTAAAGTCGATGTATTTTGCTTTGTATATCGTGCTTCTACTGCCACATCTATGTTATAACCGGGAATAAACTACATTTGCATCCATATTTACATTTGTAGCATGTATGAGCACGCGTGTCGCGTGCGTATATGTGGTAGTGATCCAGCTGAAAAAAGCCTTGTTGAAAAATTTAAGTGGTGTTAAGTCAGCAAAATATGTAGTTATGCAATGTTAAAATGCTAATTTATTGGTATTTGGCAGAAGTAGCTCAAGATTAATTGCTTGAGTAATTTATGCTACCTCTGGTGCTATATTGACATATTGAGCGTAATACCTGTACATGTACCATTGATTTTGACAGGGGTAGGGTGGAGCCTTTATTTTATATACGTTCAGCGTGCAAAGAAAGTAGTGTCCGATAGCCCGGGGCTAGCGGATTTTGCTATCGGGCTAGTAAATTCTGTTCTTCACTTGCCCGACGGGCAAGTATAATGCAGTTTGAGGAATTCACCTTACAGAAGAACTGTTAAATCAAAAATTTTGTGGGTAGTTGAAATGACGTTTGGGCTAGTAAATGTTAGCTTCAGCTTGCCCAAATGGCAAGCTGTAAAAATGACTTTCTTTGCACCCTGTACGTTACTGTCATTTTTTTTTCTGTTTTGTTTTGTCATGTTTTTCATATACAAAGTTGTTTTTTGTTTATAATAGTTTATAATGATACAGCTGTACATGTAAGCTGAGTCAAAAGGTCAAAAATGCTAAAATGTGCCACATGTGTATTTATAATGTTCATAAAGATAATGGCAACACAAGTAACACAATTCATTTAATTTCACAATATTATCAATAAAGGTAGAATTAACAGTTATTTTTAGTGGGTTTAGTGACTTTTTTGTGTATTTGTTTCAGATTTTTCCTTGAGTGGTACTGGAGTTATTTCCAATGTTCTTGAAATTGAGTTGCATCACCTGAACTCTCAAAAGATAAAGAGGTCAATGAAATACAGGTTCAACATGGGAAGCTGTTTGTGGTCTGTGCATGAAGAAATGCTACAGGGGTATTCCAGTGGGTCTCAATTTATTTACAGTAATCATTTTTTCCTCTTCACAAGATGACAGAATTGAAGCTTATATACTGAATGCTCGCATCCATCAATACCCCATCTGTTTGGGGTAAATGTCACAAAACAGAAACCTCACATGTACTTCCTTGGGTTATATTTTTACCATCTTTACAATATTATTTTTCTTGTTCTTTGTGCTTTGCCCTGCTAAGGAAATTCATGTCCCTTTCACAGTGTTCTGCGGGAACATAATGTACTGAAATTGTGTGAAGCTATAGAACATTTGCACTCATACAGGTTTCCCCACAGAGATATAAAGAGTGACAACATTATTCTTACAGAGGTAAACAATATGTACTACCCAATGCTCATTGATTTTGGAAAGGCTATCTTGCTATCGGATGCCCCTTCAAAACAGCAGTCCATGACTGCTCACTAGCACTGACATATAGCTTAAGAAATATGCCTCAGATATTATGTTTTAAAAGACAAAATCATATTGAACTCAAAATCAGGGTTGTAAAGAGCAGCAAAGAAATTATTCATTCATGTCTGTGCTGAGTTTCTATTCAAAATGATATGAAATACAAAGCAATTTCACCATTTGTTGTAGTATTGGCTGTTGGGCTTTCAAAATGTGGCCATTTTTAGGGAGGCTTACCATCAAGATGTGGTCATCTCTAGGTATAGTCAGTGAAAACTAGAACAAATAGCGGTAAGAACAAAATTGTCAGTTTTGATGTGAATTTTCTTGAATAAATGGCCATGAGGAAATTGTGTACAAGTGAATAATCTCAACCCTGACTTTGAAATGCACAGAACCTTTTTTTTTTTTTTACCAAATTTAAGGTACTGTGGGTGGCCTTGTTATTGTTAGCTTTTTAATAATAATATTATGATGTAGAAAAAATACAGTAAATGATCTGACTACTGGACCTTTGTCCAGTAGATTTGTTGTAGTGTATTTACTTAATGTAAAGGGGAGGTAGTGTGGGCCCTCTGTAACTGTATACAACAGTTACTGTGTCATTTTGAATTTTTAGTTTTAGTAATTGGAGATCCCTGCCCATTGTGCGACCCTAGGCTTTACTATTATCAAATGACAGAAGGGGAATGTAACACATGCCCAGGTTATGTACCATTGACTCACTTCGAAGTGGTTATGTGATTTAGAATTGGACCCAAAAAAAGACCGGGGCCCAGTTGTTCCAAAGACCGATTAGCACTAACCCAGTGCTAGATTTTAACCTGCGTTTCTTTTTCCTTTTAATCAAAAGCATTTTGTCAGATAATTTTCCCTTTTTTTTAAGTATCAAATCACCAAATTGTAGACAAAAGGAATTCAAATGAATTTGTTTTTAAAACTGTCATATCTGAATTCATATTTCATACTAACCTTGGGTTATCTTAACCAGCTTTAAACAACCCAGCCTGGAAGGATAATAAATGCTGCATGTTAATTTGTTTCACCGCCTTAGTTTTTTCTTTATAGCTTACAACTTTTCATGATCCAAGGCCAACTCAGAGCTCCTGTAACCCAGTAGGGGTCTGTTCATTTTTTAAGGGGGGGGGACCCTCTCTTCATCCTTGTATCCCAAGATCAAATAACCAGGATTCAGGTGAATTTTAGCCAGCAAAAATGCTATGACTTTTTTTGGATTGAATAGGTAGTACTTAATGAACAGTGAGACTCAAACTCAGGGTTGCAAACAACAAAGTTAGAAAAATTAGCCTTTCATAAATTTGTCAGCTGAGTTAATGTTCAAATAAAATTGTGAGCAGTTTCACCATATTTTGTTGTAGTATTGGCTGTTGGGTTTTCAAAATGTGGTCATTTTTAGGAAGCCGGCCATCGAGATGTGGTCATCTCTAGGTGGGCAGTCAAAACTACAACAAATACCGGTTAAACTAAAATTGTTGGTTTTAAATTGAATTAAGTTTGTTGGTTAAATGGCCATGAGGAAATTATGTACAAGTGAATATAAGCACAACACTGAGTTTGAAATCCACAAAACTTTTTATTTCGGACCAAATTTGATTTTTTAGTATGATGTACAAAAAATACAGTAAATGATCTGACTACTGGACCCAACCTTGTGTTATCTTAACCCATCTTTGAGCAAACCCAGTCCAGAAGGACAAATGCTGCATGTTAATTTGTTTCACTACCTTAGTTTTTTCTTTATAGCTCTAGACTTTTCATGATCCAATGCCAAATCAGAGCTCCTGTAATCCAATAAAGATCTGTGCATTGTTTATTGTGCAGGGGTGGGGGGGGCTGTCAGGTAGGATTTGACCATTCGACCGGTAGCTCCTGTAGATCCTCCTTGTATCCCAAGCAAATAACCAGGCTTCAGGTGAATTCTAGCCAGCAAAACTGCTATGACTTTTTGGATTGAATAGGTAGTGCTTAATGAACAGTAAACCTCAAAATCAACATTAAAATCAGTGGAACTCAAACTCAGGGTTGCAAACAACAAAGTTAGAAAAATTAGCCTTTCATAAATTTGTCAGCTGAGTTGATGTTCAAATAAAATTGTGAGCAGTTTCACCATATTTTGTTGTAGTATTGGCTGTTGGATTTTCAAAATGTGGTCATTTTTAGGAAGCCGGCCATCGAGATGTGGTCATCTCTAGGTGGGCAGTCAAAACTACAACAAATACCGGTTAAACTAAAATTGTTGGTTTTAAATTGAATTAAGTTTGTTGGTTAAATGCATGGCCATGAGGAAATTATGTACAAGTGAATAATCACAACACTGAGTTTGAAATCCACAAAACTTTTTATTTCGGACCAAATTTGATTTTTTAGTATGATGTACAAAAAATACAGTAAATGATCTGACTACTGGACCTAACCTTGTGTTATCTTAACCCATCTTTGAGCAAACCCAGTCCAGAAGGATAAATGCTGCATGTTAATTTGTTTCACCACCTTAGTTTTTTCTTTATAGCTCTAGACTTTTCATGATCCAATGCCAAATCAGAGCTCCTGTAATCCAATAAAGATCTGTGCATTGTTTATTGTGCAGGGGTGGGGGGGGGGGGGCTGTCAGGTAGGTTTTGACCATTCGACCGGTAGCTCCTGTAGATCCTCCTTGTATCCCAAGCAAATAACCAGGCTTCAGGTGAATTCTAGCCAGCAAAACTGCTATGACTTTTTGGATTGAATAGGTAGTGCTTAATGAACAGTAAAACTCAAAATCAACATTAAAATCAGTGGAACTCAAACTCAGGGTTGCAAACAACAAAGTTAGAAAAATTAGCCTTTCATAAATTTGTCAGCTGAGTTAATGTTCAAATAAAATTGTGAGCAGTTTCACCATATTTTGTTGTAGTATTGGCTGTTGAGTTTTCAAAATGTGGTCATTTTTAGGAAGCCCACCATCGAGATGTAGTCATCTCTAGGTGGTCAGTCAAAACTACAACAAATAAGTCCCGTATGATATATGCCCCTAATATTCTAGAATCAGTATAAATATTGTCGGAAATATAGAAAGAACCCTGCAGTATATGTATTAGCTATTCAGGGTCTTTATGATGACTACGTTGAAACAAAACACTGCCATGATCAAACCTTAAATGACAGAGGCAAGTGCCTTGGTTTGCCTCATACTGGCTATGGCCCTGACTGTAGGAAATACAGTGCATCAATGATCTGACTACTGGACCTTAATAACGAGTGGATTTGAATTAGTGTATTTGCTTTAAATTAGTAGCCCGGGAAAGGTTTATGCCAGGGGCGCTGTCAGAAAGGGACACCTTTTTCATGCTTCAGGTATGAAAGGATAGGGATTTCCTGAGTTAAAGTATATGACAGGGTAGACTATCTGTCATTTCGTTCTGTAAAAAGACTAACAGAAGAAATTTGTGAATGTAATATTGTCAAAAAAAATTAACTGGTTTCTGATTCCTTTATATTAAAATGACAGTGCACATAAAACAGTTAACAGGAAAGATGCATGTAAGGGGTTGGACCTCTGGGCGGAGTCTCACAGCGTGTACAAAATTTTATTGTAACAATGTAATGTTACAGTTGAGATTGGAAATTTACTTTAGTCACAAAACGGATCAAACATATAGGAAATGTCACATGCACATCACCTTTGACTGTCAGCAAATGTTATGCAGCTCACTATATTTGCTCCCCTTGCAAATATGGATAATTATGATGCAAATGTGCAAATTTATGATACAGCCAAATGTCTAGAAATTTATTGTTTTGCTCTTAAGGCAAATACGAGTAAACCACATGCAAAAGTGTTCTTTTGGTATCCTGGCAAAAACAAGAGCAAATACCACTGCAAATTAGGGGTTTTGCAATATTTTTGCCTGCATTTGAAGTAAAGTGAAAACTGTCATTTTTGCCAAGGATGCAAATTTGAGTAAACTGGTAGAAATGTTGAAGATTTGCCCATGCTGCAAATATGTATCAAATTTGTATCAAACCATTACATTTACTTCACTTTTGCGTATCAATACGTATCTAGCAAATATATGTATTTGCCCACACTTTAGCCGACAGCGCAAATGTAATGCAAATTTGGAGCTCCAAATTTACCACATATTTGCACCTTTCGCAAACATTAGTAAATCCGTTTTTTCGTCCAGTGTTAGAACAGCCGTTTTATGAAAATTATCCGACATTAGATTCCCATGATACCGGACCCTTCACCCATCAAGATGGCTTTCAAAACCGTCATAAGGTCTATAGTGTGGCTTACGGCAGTACGAAAATTGAATTTTTAATATGTCAAAACAACAGAGTATTCTTTGCCTCTGCTTTTTCGTCAGTCCAGGTCAAATCAAATACAGAATATTCTGTAAATTCCGTGTTCTAGAGTATTACGTATATTCCATATTTTACAACTGATTCCATGTATCCCGCCATTCCGCCGAATAGGGTCACCCAAATATTGGGGAGGACATCATTAAAAAAAGATAGGAGACCGGTAGGACTTTTAAATCGATGAAAGTGCCTCACTCATTTTGCAACTTCATTTTATAATATGCTTCATAATTTGTTTCCACAATAATATTTATGATATTTAGATAATAACCAACGCACTACGCACAACTAGTCACATAACATTGGACAGCATACCATGCACTTAAACTCTTGCGCTGGAAAGTTACAGTATGAAATTATTTTTTGCTTCACTCAGTCACATTCCTTTATACTGAAACTTTGGCTAAAAGGTCTCTTTTTAGATCTGTAGATTTGTAATTAAGTTATTTCGAAATACCCGCACATGTCTTTCAACACCAACATTGAAAGATGAAAGTTTGTTGCTGTGATAATATTGACAAAGATTGTAAACATCAAATATAATTGGATGTTTTAAGCCCACATTTCTATCACCTCTTCAACAGCATGGAGGGGAAATGGGGGCTTAAGGTATTGAGCTTTTTTTCAAGCGGTATTTCGGTAATTTGGATTTTAAAGTGGAGTATTGCGGTATCATTTAGCCCTGCGGTATGCGGTTTTTCATCCTTTTGGTTAACGGTATTCGGTAAAAGAAGATCCTTCACGGTATTGCGGTACTGTTCATTGCGCTCTCCTGTTTAATGCTAGCCTGCTAGCCCGTGTCTCCCTCGCGCGCGCCCGTTCTCTCTCGCGCCTACTACTTCCAAGCGCCTGCTGCGCAGGCTAGTTTACTGCACGTCCGTATTTTTAAGACTTTAGATAAATGGTAAATGATTACCATTACACAATTTCTGACAGATAATCCATGATGAAATTGATAGGGAATCTTTTTCGATCGTTGTACCGATCAATTCGAGGTCGTCTCACGTTTCCCCGCAATGGCTGAGGTTGATTGCTGGTGCATAAATGCTTGGAATAAACAAACACGCGAGATGGATACAACTTTAAGTAAGCATGACCGAAAATAAATGCGGTATCGGTATTTCGTCGATTTTTGACACGGTATTTCGGTATATGCCAATTTTTCTTACGGTATTGCGGTATTGGGTATTCCAACTTCGTCATCTTTCTTCAGGTCCGCTGACCCCTACACGTGCTGACCCGTAACGTCCGTTGGAATGTATGTAACGAAATACAAGCAGCCGACATTCAAAGTACTTGGAGACTAGCTGAGGCTGAATTCATCATCATTAATAGGAACAACATAAAACTGTTTCACTTCACGATTTCTGGTGATGGAAAGATTGTTTTTTTAAACTTATATTTCACGTATTTGTTTGGATCCCGCTGCAGTTGGGACAAATGAACGCTGTTACGCGACAACATTTCCAAGATTCAACTCTCCCTAGCAGATGGTAATTTCGAGTTACTCTCTTTTTCTGCAAATCTTTCATTTTCCTTTCTTTTTTAATTCTATCTACTTCTATCTACTTCTATTTAGGATGGTTTTGAGCGCTTAGCAAGGCTTAAAGTGGCGTTTACCACGCTATCCTTGGCCATATTGGCAACAGAGAAGTGTTTCGCCGAAGTGGCAACTTAACGGTAAATACGGTAACTTTGAACGGTTTTTACAACGTCAGTATACTTTGGCCGAAAAATGTTTTTCCGAAAACGTGATCTATATCCCTCCAATGTCTGATTCATCACTGTGATTGCTTTCAGCAGCGTTGGACTTTTGAGAAATTAATATTTTAAAATCAGCTCCAACGCTCCATCTAATTTAATATGCAATATTTGAAAATTTATTTTTTATTCCCTTGGGCAGTTTTTCGATATTTATCGAATGATATTGCATTATAAGGCCTTTTTCTTCATCACTGTGTGGTTTTCTCGTTATTTTGCGTTGCGATAGTGATTTCTGAACCGTTTCTTGCGAGGGCTTATTTTAGGCCTGATTTTGCTGCTATCAGACGGAAAAAGTTTGCGCCTCGATATTTTTGGTTTAAAGCGAAACTGAAACAAAAGAAATTCATTTTTGAATAGTATTCGGTAACCTCTACTTGGGAGATAAAAATCGGCCGATTTTATTTTTTAGCCGGAAATCATCGGTCGTTTCTTAGGCGCAGGGCCTCTTAAGCGGGTATTTTTAACCCGATAGAAGATCAGAACTATCATCAGATAACTCCTCCACGCTGGCTACCGCCATTGGTGGAAGCAATTCAAATCCCGCTTCTGTGACTCAGCGTGTGACGCATGATCATAGCTCTGCTCTGATTGGATATTACTGAGAAGGCGTGAAAAATATTCCGCGAAAGCTATTTCTATAAATAATTCTTCGTTGGAAAGGGTTGACTCCAAGGGCTTATATGGGAGATGGAGGCTCCAAGTAATCGGCTCCTGGTTCTGCTTATTAGAGATGTCCACTAAGTACAGGTTTGTTTTTCTTCAATTATGGGAAGAAACGTTTTGACACATTTTGAGCTATTTGACTGCTGAATACAGGGTGTCTTGCTTAATATGGGGTCTGCTTAATACAGGTTTTACCGTACAATGCAGAAAATGAGTTAATTAGGCTTTCACTGAGAAGGGGAGGTACAAGATATAGGACATAAACAAGAAGCTATACACAGCTTGAACTTGTTGCAGTTACTGTTGATTTTATTCTTAACACTTTTGAGTGCTTTCTATAGAGAAAGAAAGAAAAGACTAGTTTCAGCAGCCGACACCTAAAGCCATGAGTGCTTACTAGAATGGAGAAAACTTGCTGGAATCAATAAGTGGCAAACACAATATCAAATGGTCCTATGCATCCATGAATGCCTAAAGCTTGAATCAGCTGTTGAATTATGCTGTGGTACTATTTGCATTCAAAGTATTAAAAAGAGCGTTTTCCGATTAACTAAAGCAGTATTTTTTGCTCGATGGAATTTTTACAGTTAAGATTACAGTTTAATCGAGTAGAAGTCAAGGTGGTTTTGTAAACTCAACATTTCCTTTACAGGCGAATTTTTGCCAGAAATCAAATTCAACTTGTGACAAAAACATCAAAGCAAATCTTTACGAAAACTCGAGATTTCAATTTAATAGCACAGAGAAAACTCTAACAGAGAAACGGTGCCTTACCTCGAGCAACCGGCCACCATTGTCAGCGCTTACGAAGAACAACACAAGCTGTAAAAACAACCTTTTCCCTAACTTGGCCAGTCGACAGTTAAAAACAAAGCTGCTCTTTTCTTTTCAGGCGTGGAAGTACAATTTAAACTTCTGGCGGTTCCATATAAAGCATTAGGCTATTGTTTGCCAAAGGATTATGTTTAAATTGCGATTTGATTTGCAATTTTTGAAAATTCTGTAAAGATCAAACTTTTGCGCATGTTAATCAAATTAAACATAAATCTTTTCCTTACTGATTTAGGAGTATTTACCCCGCTGAGAATGTTCAGCTTCTATTCATCTCGTGTTTAATAAAGAATAATTGTTAATTGTCCAATGTGAAGTGCGAAACAAAATATCAGTCGAGCGGGAAAAGGTGTGTTCCCAAGATTCCTGGTCATGTCCTTGAGAAAAAGACTAGAAACCTTTATAGGTTTTTTTCTTCCTCTTTCTTTCCACACGGCCGGTTCTACGGTCGCCTTTGTAGGGCCCGCGAGTTTTGTGTTCAAGGCTACTTGTCCTCTCTCTTTCCAGCTGTTCCAACAAAAACGATGGTCACGTGGTCGCCTTAACTGTATTTCTATGCTTGCTTGTAAAGGACCAGTTTGTGTAGCAGTTTTAACCAATTTCTGTGGTAGATTCTTCGTTGAAGTAGGACAATCTATCAACTCAAAGTCTTTCCACTTCGGCCGCCATTTTTGTCATTTGCTTACTCCGCCTCGCTTTGGCGAGTTCAATCCTGAAAGCGAGTCTTCCGGAAGTCAACAAGTTTACCGGAAACTGTTTCCGCGTGGTCCGCATAGTTCTAAAAATAACTTTTTTAAAATAAAGACATCCGGGCCAACGCCCTCAGACTCCCTCTCTGTCCTATTATGGTTCTTGACCACGTTAACACACTGAGTTGCAAAGATATCCTGTTGTTCCCTGATTGTATACCTTATTTTTTTCATTTGCGGGCTGATACCGATCAGTCGATCCTTTCTCATAGACCCATTGCCAGTCAAGATTCAGAGTTTCTTCAAAATGATAATTTTTTTTTTTTATCAAGTTCCAGATCCGGTCGCCTTCTTCCCCCTTAATGCTGCGTACGGTACCAAGGAGATTGACAACCGAACGGAAAAAGGGATTCCTCGAGGTGTTATCCTGGCTCCTGGGCCCAATGGAAGACATAACTACTCTTATAAGTTTTCTGGAAGCTACAACAGCTACATCAAGTTTCCCAACAGTATTGGAGGACCTTTGGATGTGCGATATTCGATGACTATGCTGTGCTGGGTGTACTGTAATGGCAAAGGCGGACCGCTTTTCAGCTACGGGAAAAGTTCAACTTGGGCTGTTCAATTTAGGGTTTTAAATGAAGGGAAACTTTTTGTCCATTTCAAAAAACGTGATTATTCGGAAACCAAACGTTTGGAGCATACCAACCTCGCTGGTGGATGGAAGTTTGTTGGTGCATCTTACGACCGTTCTTCTGGCGAAGCCAAACTGTGGGTCAATGGAGCTGTGGTTCAGACGTTAAACATTGGAGCGGGCCTTGAACTGGCCACACAGGATAGCATCAGAATGGGTGCGAGGGCTCACACGTACTTCAAAGGCAGAATTGCTCAGATGCGGATCTACAACCGAGCTTTGACTCAGGAGCAAATTCAAGCAATACAGAAACTTGTTGTCGCAGGTAACGAAAAAAAAAATAAAATAAGTAAAATTAAATGTTGTTTGGAATGTGAAAAATATAAGTGCATAACTTACCCGTGATTGTCTTATCAATGGGTATTGAATATTGACACTATAGAAGATCTTGCTTTATTTTCAATTACACTTCGACTTAAAGAACTTTTCAAAAATAGTTTTTTTTTCAAATGGTACTTAAAGACAGGGTTTATTTTTTTTACACAGACTAATTTAAGGATATCTTGCGAGCACATGATCAGTCACTGAATTATATTTTAGATCCCTGATTGCAAGTTTCTAAGACACAAAAGTCTATAGCTAACCAGGTTTGCTTTTATATTTCCTTTTCAGCATGACCCTGGAGTGAGGTGTCAAGTTTAAACAAAATTAAGCCATCATTAAGAATGGAGCATTCTCTGTAGCTTTAAAAATTTCCTGGGGTTTCTTTTTGTAAAGGGAAAATAAAGAGTTAGTAACAGTACATGTAAGTCGTGTAAAGTTGTTGTCCTCGTCGATGTCGAAAGCCTCGCATGGCAAAAACGTATCAAAACGGCAGCGGTTTTTGGAGGCAGGAATAAATAGATCGTCCTTGAGGCGATAATCAGTTCTAATGAACAGCCGTTGTTCAGGTAAATTTGAATTATAAGAAAGCGCTAGAATATTCGCCTAATCAAATTCTATAGCGCAAGCGTGCTTAATACCCCCATTGAGCACGCGGATGACGTCAATCGTATCAAGAAATGGTCCATTGTACCGGGTCCAATTCATCAAAACAACAGCCTTTTGTCCTAGGTGATACTAGCGAAAACAGACCGAACAGTCTGTGCATGATCGTTTAATCTTCGGCGTGACAAATTTGTAATACTAGGGGGGAGGGGAGAGGGTTTTTTTGCCTTGACGCGATGCTTTTGATCGGATCGCGCTTTTATACTGAGCGCTCTGAACAAAAAAAAAATTCCAGTAATACCTTACAGAGAGCGTTCTTAAACAGTTATTAAAACAAGCTTATTATTTGCGCGTCCTACATTCAGAGGTGCGATCTTTGAATGTAAATTATACCTCGAGTTCTTGTGAGCTTAGCAATCCTCTCAAGACGTCTCCCAACTCAAGAGGCTGCGCCTCGAGCAACTCGTACGTCTCTTTCGTGCTCTCCAAACTTCCCTTGTGCACAATTTCTCAGCATACGCACGCTGACGCATGAACTAATTGTTAAGAAAAGGGACTTCAAATTTAAATCCCATGCTGATTGTTTCAATGATGAACTGGCCCTTGACAGGAAAAAGCAGTAAATTGTCGGTTGAGTTTTAGCAAGTGTAAGCTAGAATTACAAAAACCATTAGGTGCTACGCTCTAAATGCGGGAAGCGGCTGGTACCCTAACCCTAATATCGAGTAGTGTAGGAACTGCTCGGAAGGTCTCTCCTAATTGGTCGCAGGAAACAACCACATGACAATTGTTTGCCATTGGTGACTTCTCTTCCGAGCAGCTGCTACATGAGCCCTAATATCCAGTCATTAAGATGGGTCCGCCCACTCCCAATAAGGTCATACCCTTATGATCCAAAATCGTCCAATCCCACGCTTTACAAACGGTGCTCTCCAGTCAATTTCTAGCGACCAATTTTTCTGCGTGCTATTATGTGTGCGTGGCTTACACTCATGCAAGGCTGGTAACAGACTATAATATCTAAACTATGACTCTATAGTTTTTTATTTTCAACCAATGCTCCAATCTCGAGAAGTTAATTACTAGGTTTTTTAATACTGCAGATAACTTTCACGTTTATTTCCCTTGTTTTGACAAAAGTAAAGAAAATAATGATTTCAATCTATTTTGCTCGTTGAATATTGATCCTTGTATTAACACTTGCGAAAGCCAGTCTTGGGAATGAACTATAGCATCAGCCTATAGTTCAATCTGTTTGCATAGGAAAACAATACCCTGGTAAAAGCATTTTTTGTCCGGTACAGTCCATCATCCCTTTCCATACTGAATCAAAGGTCCCGGGTGAGAAAAAATTTTGGTGATTACCTTACAAAAGAATAGGCGAATCCTTGTTTACATTTTTTGCCTCAATAACATATATTATCTCAGGGATAAAGCTAATGAAAGAGCATAATAATTAAAGTTATCTCTGAAAATTTGAGCCCGATATACCGAACAGTTTTGCAGAAATTCTCTTCGAAAAACTCGAAAGTTTACAAAGAATGTATGAGCTCATTAGCGTTTTCACTACCCAGCAATTTCGCAGTTTTTGATCGCTGAAAATTGCAAAAACTACTCAAATTAAGTTCTTTCAATTTTTTAACTTAATTTGTGTAATTCTCTATACGGTGACGTCTTCTATGGGTTAACTTGAATGCAAATGAGCAAAAATCCACGAAACAATGACGTCAGCAAGGATTCGCCTATGCTTTGAATGAACTTACTAAAGGCCAGGAGCACCCAACACTTTTTTCTGTAAAATAACTGTTAGGAATCTCCAATGAAAGCTCGAGAAAGTCCAAAACAGCTAAGATATTCAGACTTTTTCTATTAAATTTCCTACAATTTCCGGTGGTTGTGTTTTTCACATATTAAATATGTGAAAATATTTTATGACCAAAATTTGCGATTTAGTTGTTAAAAAAATGGTCCCCTGAAAATTTCGGTGTAAATTTAAGACAAAACGTCCCCTCCATGTTCTCGAACGGTCGATCGGAACCGTCAGGATCCATCAGGGTAGCTAAAAGTTTGAGATGAGAGGAAAAAGCCATGCACCTAAAACTTTCGAGACGGCCAAAGTTCCCCAAAGACATCCAAACAGATAAATACTTTTTAGGGTAGCTCCAAATTAGCAAACATTGCTCTAAGACATATATAGTGATAATCGTTCGAGTCCACTTCGGACGTATTTGGAAACGTTCGTTCGTTGGGTGCCCCTAAAGTCTCATTTCTTGTGGTTCTTTGTACGGATCCTGGAATAAAAACGTGACCCGTATGGGTTACTCTTGGGTCAAGGTAAAATTATTGCCACAATCCTCCTTTGGACTGGTTGATAAGCAATTTTAATCTCTGCATCGAATGCAGGCGTGGATTAGTTACAAAATCTGCAAATCTTTATTACTCCGTTTACTATCCCTTCAGCCTTAGACGCTTAGTTCTACAGAAATGAGGCCTTTAACTTTTACCATCTCAGTCGTTTTGGCACCGATTGTGGTGGAAACAGCGACAGCACACAAAACAAAGGCAGTTGGATTCCAAAGGGGTATTCTATGTAATAACAACAACACCTTGTAAGCTTGTCCGAATAAAAAGCTTAAGGATATGATCAAAAAAAGAAAACTAGACGACATTAAAACGTAGGCCGGGTTGTTCAAAGCTGGGTCAAGATAACCCAGGGTTAGTGGGAAATCTAAATTCAGATATGAAAGCTTAAAAAGTAAAGTTAGTTTTTCAACAACAAGTTGATGGTTGCTTGCTCAAATTCATTATAACTGTTAGTGTAACAAGGCTTTTTAGTGACTGATTTGAGAAAACATGAACTCAAAATGACCAGATGACAGCCTTTGGGTTCAATTTTTAACTGTGTTAAATCCTCTCGGAATTTCACAACTTGCGGATTTTTTTGCTTCCTTAGCATCTTTTTGTAAACACATCAATTTTTCTATCACGATTACCTCGATCTATACGGGTTACAAGGAAAATTGAAAACATTTAATCAATTTAAAATGAGGACCCAAGACGGCTGATGGTTCCATTGCAGCTCCTTCTTTAACATTAAATGACGTCATCATGACATCCATGCTACTGTTAAAGATTATTAAAAATGTTTTTGCCGACTTCTTTGTTTTGTCAGACACCTCACTATTTAATTATTTTTCTTTTCTATTACTACATGTATTCAAAATGATGAGTACATTATTCTGTGCAAATTTGGTCGCCGTAACTATCATGAGCGGTTTCTAAATTGTAGAGCGGGGAGCCCCCCTCCCCCACCCGTCGTACGAAACCATTTTAGAAAAAGCCGGTCTGAATGGGGTTAGTCTAGCTAATTTATTTCATTCGTAGTATCATCTACAGGAACCTAGCTTCGTGTCACAACAGAGTATTGATGGAAAGTTTACTGTATTTCAGTATAATGCCAGTTTATTGCAGGTTCTTTGTTAACTCATATGCAAAATTAAATCACTCAAAGTCGTAAGATGTGAATGATTGTCAACAAGCCGACTACTAAGGGAGCTGAACTAAATAGGAACAGGAACTAACCGACGCAAGTTTGGGTATAAGAGACATATTCGGGGACTCGGTGCATTTCGAAACCCCAAGTCAAATTGAGAACAAAGCCTCAGCGGATGTCTGGGAACAAGGAGGGAGTCGAAATGGGAGAAGGAAACGTCAAATTCGAGTTTGTCCGGCGGCAACATAGATCCGTGTAATCCAGCCCATTCATAATTTGCGTATTGCTTTTTCAAAAACTAAAAATAGCATTTCAAGCTGCGACCATTTTAGTCGCAAAGACGAGTAGGAAAAAACAACTGGCGACTAAAATTGCGGTGAAAGTAGCCAATTTGGCACCTGTGTTTGGCGGTCATGCGCCAGGCTGTTATGTTTTTATTACTTGTGTCAATGATCGACATGTACAGTGTATGGTCTTTCTATAAAGTTAAAGTGAGACAACATTTGAGATTAATGCACGAAATGTTATTAACGCTCTATTTTTTTAATCGCGTCCCCTATCCAAAGTGCAATATAGTGCGATTTTTTTTCTTGCCATCAATATGTTATGTCTGACGACCACCAGCTAAAGTTTAGGTTGCCATGCAATTAAAAGGACGACTTCAGAGAAACGTTGAGCTTAGAGCACACTAACACACCCACACACTTTTGAGAACTAATGAAAAAACACTTATTAATAAATCGTATCACTTCTGAATTATCGTCAATCTGTGCTCAAATTATCATAAATTAAACTTTGGCAAACGTGCTCGTCCCGTAAAAGTGAACCTTCAGAGTTATACACCATACTCAAATTGAGCTTCCTCCATTCTGGCATTGTGAGCCTTGAGAACAGACACAGCTTCTTGAGTTTTGGCATCCAGGGCCTCACGGCACTCCAGCATATACAGCAGCTCAGAATTGTCAATCTCCAGCAGCATACCGGTGATCTTACCAGCCTGATCAGGGTAGGTGGCTTGAATCAAGGGGAACAGACGCTCACCTAGCATTTGTTTCTGCTCTGCAAGGGAGACTGAAGCCATTACACTTCGGTAGAGTGGCTCTTGTCCCTTCAGTAAAGACATGCAGATATAAAAAAAAATGCGTTACCTTCTACAGGTACCTGAGCAATTTTCGCAAAACAAAACAAGATCAAAACAAAGAAATCAGGAATACTATTTTGAAGGAACCTAAAATGCACAGACTGAAAGCTTCACAATTAGATACCTTCACTGAGAATTAACATACAACAAAGTCGCAAAATCAATGGTTCTTGTAGTAAAAAAGATTCCAAACTTTTGTACTACAATAGTGGAACCCCAAAATAACGAATTCCCTCAAAAGTACAGTGTTTCCGCTCATGCATTTTTGTTTAGTATTTGCTGTGCTATTTATATGTTCCGGCCACTGCTTTAAGAGATTATTTTTATACTCCGTTCAATTATTTGTTGACCAGAAAGTGACGGTTGCATTTGGCTGAATGGTGTCAACATTTTTTTAAACTTACTGGTATGCAAATGGGCGGTTGAAAACGTTCTTGTTGCTGCATTGGCGCTGCACCTGGATGTGTCTGTGGCTGCCGAAACTTGTACGATGGTCTATGTGGCAGTTGCTGCTGCTGTCCAGGCATTTGTCTGGGAGGCACCTGATGGATGCCTTTTGCACGTGGAATCTGCCCATCCCCTGAAACTTGCATTCCTGAAGGTCTCATCTGCTGCAGCTGCTGCATTGGCTGCCAGAGAGGTCGCATTTGTTGCATGAAGAATACAGGCTGGCCTGGCTGGAAAGGATGAGTCATGAAAGCTTATTGAGCAAAACAAAACTCTATCGGTCTGAGCTAAAACCCTCAAAGCACTTAAACATCCCCATGCATTCAGGTTCTTATTCGGGATTAAGTAACCTAAAAGACTTTTGACAATTAAATATTTCAACTCCTTTCAAAACTACACCGTTCCAATGGTGTGAAGGAAAAATCCTTACACAAATAAAAAGACTACATTTTAGTTCATACTTGGACTCTCTGTCATATTATTGCCACCGTATTCCCCGCGGAGTACTCTTGAACAATACCTAACAAGTTTGTGCGCCCGTCCAGTGGTGTCATGACTAGAGATCTGATCCCAGTCGTTCATGAGAAGGTGGATAACGTTATGTACTATCTCTATCCAGTGGATAACGAAACTGGTTTCTCTATAATTTATCCACTGGATAGTGATTTTTGTGGTCGATACTGCTATCCAACATTTGAATAATTATAACCGGGGCCAGGAAGATAATACACTTTTGGTGGAAATTCAACACACAAAGTCAGATAAATATTTCGCTGTTTCCGGTTGGCTCCAATCCCCCATAGGCTAATTCCTAATAACTTGCTGTGGCTTACCATATTTGGAGGATACGAGCAATATACTACCGATTATTTTAATTGATCGTTGAAAAGTCCCGTCATACTTGATACGCATGCCACTGTTGAACCAAGCTAATCACGCAATTTGACAGAAAACGTGGTCTACAAGTATAGTGCTCACTGTTTCCCCCTGGATTTTGGAAGTGAATGCCTCCAAAGAAGAAAAAAGAGCTTGTCCGTTTTCGTCCTTGACTCCAAGGCGAAAGAAGACGACAAAATTGTCTTGCAAAGTGTGGGCTTCGAAATTAGCAGAGAGCGACAAGGGCTCCTACTACAATCAAGAAAAATGGCTAAATGATGACAAAGCTTCTAAAAAAATCATTGAAACTTCCGCGAAATCGAGGCTCACGAGTTTCTTAGCGAGCGGAGCGAGCTTTTTAGGCCGCGAAGCAGCCAAGCGAGCGACAAATTCACGACAGGTCCCACGCAATATAAAAATCGGACGAAGGACTTTTTTTTGAAAGTCCGAATTGTAGAGGGAGAGGATCGCAATGATCGTTTACAGTAAACAATAAAAGAGCAGTTCCAACTTTAAAGCCGTCTTCTGAAGAAAAAAATGCTTTAAGATAATTCCTTCAAGGCCAGAATTTTCTTGTAAATTTGCTCAGTCAAATTGTAGAATACTCCATGCACTGTATAAATTACGCAAAAAGAGAGCAAGAAAAACCTCTGTTGTTCAAGCTACTCTAAGGTCACGTTTCACACTATCACGAGCTCAATCTCTCTTGTCAAGAGCTATGAGTCATGTTTGGCCTGTCAACACTTACTTCAAATCGGACTAATCACAAAATGCGTAAGAAACTAGCCAATCAAAAACGCCGACATATGTCCTTGCGATTCTGCGGGATTGGGACACGATCTTGTGCAATAATTCGCAGACGCTCTATATAGAAGTTTAGAGTGTCTGCGACGCAGGCAACTTTTTCCCCTGTTTTCTCGAAATGAAAATCAGAGCAAGTTGAGGGTACGTTTTAAACTCCAAACCAAATTTGGATGAAATTTGGCCAACTTACTGTCAGATAGTTTTTCTAAAAAACCGTGTCTGCGAATTTTTGATTTCTTTTTTCGTTTTCGAGTAAGAGTATTTTTTCACAGGTAGTGCTAATGATTTGTTATCCCCAACTTCAACTGCTTATAACAAAAGAACAAACTCACTTGACAAAAATCTGAGACACGGTTCTTAAGTCAAACGTGTTAAGAAGCGAATGTGATCTTAATTGGCTTCTTTCGTTTATTTTTGGCTGGCCTTGACTTAAATTTACAGTGACACCCACTTCCACAAAAAGCTTTTCACTTCTGAATCGAATTAATATTTTGATTTTTTAAAAGGAATAAGCTTAATCTGGAACTATTAAGCTTTCAGAAAATGTACGGTTTATGGGGGTATTTATTAAAAGCAAAAGCGCTAGCGCCGATCAACGCGGGGAGGGTGCTTGAGGGTGGATGATACCTTAACTAAACAAACATGACTGAAATTGAACGGAACAAACAAACTTTTTGGTTTGAAATTATTCAATGGTAAGTATCTCCGAAGTTTCGTTACAACTGAAGTTATAATTCTTCTATGCGTCAAGACCTTAAGTACTGATGTAACATCAACAACAACAACAAAAGCAAAGATTACCTTTGAAATTTTCATAATGGCTTGCAAGTCCTTGGGGAAGTAAGTTTTCAAAACCATTAGAAGAAATGTGCAAAGAAGAGCTAAATGCGTGTTTGATGGGCTTAGTCTTTCAGAAAGAAGTAATTTTTACAAAGGTACCTCCATGAAATTTATAAGAGACGCCATTGACCGCTTTCTCCGCTCTCCACCGCAAAATAAGCCTTTCTGCATAATCGCTGATCCCGCTGTTACACAAGCAAATGAAGTGTTAGACGCCGGCGTTCGTGAAAGAAAGAAAGACGGGAAAAATTGCCGGCGTCGTTCACAATAAAACAATTTTAAAAGAGCAGATGAAGAAACTCTTCGACAGCGGCGAACTCGGACCGGCCAACAGCTTGAGTCCTGCACAACTACAGAGCACGGCCTGGTTTTACCTCGGCCTCTTTTTTGTACGAAGAAGGGGACGTGAAAATCAACGGCAGCTAAAGCCAACAACGCTTTCCCTACGAAAATCTTCTAAATGAGTCCAGTACTATGAACTGAACCGGAAGTCAGCCTGGTTCTCTGCCGGCCACAAAAAAACACCAGCGCGGCCTCGCAGATGCTGAAGATGAATCTGACGCCCATATATTTTCCGTAACTGTCTCTGAAACGTGTCCAGGAAAAACAATAAAGAATAACGTGAGCCATCGCAATCCGACTTCAGATGCTCTTTTTTCGGAGATCTAGAGATAGTGAAAGCGCAAAGTTCAAGTCCTCAGTATCTTGTTGAATTGAGGTAAAGATTTGCACTGCTTTGCTGAGTCCGGGAGCTCATTTTAGGACCTTGCTCCCTGGAACATTATTGATCTTTTTCTAAATTCAGTTCGCACAGCCGGAAGTACAAAATTAAGTTCAATTCAGAGCTCCTCGTTTTATAATTATGGCTGACTCGCTGTGCAAGAGATGAAAGTTCTATATGTGCAAGTTCCCTCAAACACTTGAAAATGAAGGTGCACAGATGTAGTTACCACCAACAAAGTAGTTTAGTCCAGCCAAGCTGTGACACGGGGTCATTGCTTGATCCTTCTCTTAGCACAACCCTAGCAGCACTCGTTTGAAGCCTCAAGTTGCTCCGCCAGGGTAGATCCCACACTGCTCCAGCATATATCCCAATAATCCAAGATTGGGAAAATAAAGGCTTTATAGATGGTATTAGATACAGATGATGTTAGGTGGGGTCTTACCCTGCCGAGTGCACCCAGCTGCTATGAGAACTACTTTGCCATCTTATTGACATGTTCCTCGAAAGTTAGACCACTATCGAGGTGAACGCCCAGGTACTTGTTCGTGGATACTTACTTTACTGTCTTATTTCCAATCCTGATGGTTGAACTTGGGGCTCGAGCTAACCTTTGGTGAGTTCCAAAAAGCATACATACTGGTTTGGCCGGGAATTATCATCTTGTTGGATTGAAGGCACTAGAGCACGTTTTCAAATTCATAATTGAGCACATCTTCAATGTAGTTGGACCGGATGTAAAAACAACTGAATCGTCGGCGTACATAAAGGTGGAGGCTCTTTGGAGAACACGTTGCATATCATTCACATAAAGGATAAATAGAGGGGGCCTAAAATGCTTCTCTGCGAACTCCCCCTCTAATCGCGACATTCTGGGGTGGGGATATTACACTTTTAAAGAACACGAATTGTTGTCCTGCTGTTAGATAACTAGTAAACAATTGTAACCCTTTATCCTGCATCCAATAAATTCTGTATGGATTCAAAATTGAATCCAAAAAAGGGCACTTAAGATAATTTTTCCGTGTGCTGATGGCTACTCAGATGCCCTTAGCACGGGTGGAAACCCCAGCGTGCAGGAGAGATAAGATATGTGAGGAGTACATGTGCAAAATGAAGGACTTAACACCCTCTTCATCCTCTTCTACCAACACTGCGCCTAGACGATACCTGCCCCTACACCCTAAGGCACAAAATCAGGCCAGCTGTACTTCTATAAAAACGTTACTAACTGTAGAACGAAGCTCGCTGAAGACTTTTTCACTTTTATCTTTTAATCTAGTTTTTCTAACTTTTAAACTCTGTGAATGCAAATGATGGCAAAGATTATCGGCGGGATTTTTTGATGAAGGCAAAGATGGGGAAAGGCTGTGTACACCCTTTCCCTTTTTGTAAGATATAAAAATAATTGAATTTACGCACTTGATATTTGTAACGCCCGATAATATTTGCCATCATTTGCATTCACAGAGTTTAAAAATAACGCCCAAAACGGTAACTCAAACCTAACTCATCACAGCTCAAACGCAACTCTAACCTGCGATCAGACGAAAAAACCTGATCGCAAGTTAACTCAACTCAGACTCGTAACTCGATCGTTATCCTATGTCCTCATGGAATAAATGATAAAAATTAAATAGTATCAGCCATGGATATGCAGGCTATGTTACTTATTTACTACAGTACAGAACTGACAAATTTTATTACTACGACGATTTTACCTGAACTAATGGCTGCATGTAAAACGTTCCCGCTGGAGGGCATACTTGATAAACTTGTAGACCATCTTCCTAAAAAATAAGGAAGCATCTATATAAAAAAACCTGATCGCAAGTTAACTCAACTCAGACTCGTAACTCGATCGTTATCCTATGTCCTCATGGAATAAATAATAAAAATTAAATAGTATCAGCCGTGGATATGCAGGCTATGTTACTTATTTACGACAGTACAGAACTGACAAATTTTATTACTACGACGATTTTACCTGAACTAATGGCTGCATGTAAAACGTTCCCGCTGGAGGGCATACTTGATAAACTTGTAGACCGTCGTCCTTAAAAATAAGGAAATACAAGCATCTATATGAGGCCTAATCAAGCAAGCAGAGAAGAAACGTTTTACGCCTGGCTCAAAATAAACTAAAATGCTCAAACGACATACTTTTTATTTGAATTAGTATTATTTTTCAACACAAGGTAAAAATCACACAATAAAATGTTTTAGCGTCTGAACAACTACGCATAACATACCTTCACACAATTTAACACGAGCGAAATTTCATCAAATAACTCACGGGATAGAACTAAGTACCTTTGATGCAATGATTGAACACAGTTTTGAAAGGAACTCTATGGCTGAGTGTCCGCTCTCCTTTGCTTCAAGCTCGTTAGAGCCCATAACTAGATTATGAGCAAGATCTGTTGCCATTTGCAATACTTGCGGACCAGATGCAGGGACAGCGGTGATAACATGCTCCAGAATCTTCTGAAGTATGCTGTGATATATAAACAAAAAAAATACACAGAAGAATAGTAAACACCATGACCATTGCCTGATATCCTATATAACAGTGAGAATTATGACTGGCTTATTTTTTTATAATTTCCAACGTCTGTCAGGAGGGCGTTGTTGGTCAACATGCGCTTATGTCTACTCCTCTTTTGCTACTACTAAAACAGTGGATGCCTTGAATCAGGGGGCTGATAACTGGTTTGGGAGATTGCCAGGAATACAGTTCTAGTATTTGGTCCGGAGTTGGGTGACTTCCACCCTAATTCCATCTAACAAAGCAGTTAAAAGCATTTGTGTCAGCCCTCCAAGTTTATCACAAGTCATGCCGCTTCAGTCTAGTACAGTTCTCGTCCACAGCACAGAGGGAAAAGCCCACAATTTCGTAACGGCACTCTCTTTCGAAAAGGCAAGAAATTATTGTAATGTTAACACATTGGACACATTTTCATCCATGGCAACATGCTAGCCTAGCTTAGCCTAAAGCCGAAGTGACAACAGTTATCGCACAGTCATCGTCTTTATCCTATTAGCCTCTGTCAGTAAGGTATTTAACAGCACTCTTGCCAAACCGAGTTCACAAACTACATCCGGTTAACATTAGCTGTTAGATAAAGTATAAAGAACTGTATTTTGTAGGTTCCCCTTTGTGTTTGGGGTGCCAGTTGTCTGTGTGCTGGAATTTGTTGAACATTTTTGTTAAATATGTTGAATGGCGTATTTAAACATGATTCAAGAAGGCATGTTACACTTGATCAACAAATTCATGTTTAGGTGTATGTCACCGGCTTAAGAATCAGGTTAAGCTAACCCTAATAGTTAAATACAGTGTTAACCTGAGAACTTACATTACCTATTACATTCACAACTACAATTACCTGATATAACTTTTTACATCCTCAACAGTCAATTCATTGATGAAATTTGGAAGCACCGATGTGAACAACATGCTCTGCTGAAATCCTTGAACTATTGCAATGACAGTAGGTGACATTGGTACAACAGAACAAACCTTGTTGATGATTTCTAAAATCTGATGGATGATTTCATTTGTTAATTTGTCCTTGGAAAGATTAAGGATGTATTCCCAGAATGTAGAAAACCTGAAAAACAAATTCATTCAAAGCAGTAAACACAGATACAAAGATGACATCTATCTACTTGAAAGAACACCCAAGTGTAACTCATAAGGATGTGAAGTATCAGTAAAGATAAAATACTGAGAAAAAAAACAAACAAATGTAGAAAATAAATATCTTACTTTTTGTGATTTATGGGCCAGATTTAATAAAAAGCAAAACGGGAGATCGCCTCCATGACTTTGTGTTGAACAAGACAACGAGGTTTATTTTGTCCTAGCCAAAGGGAAAATTGATTTGAAAGCGGACTTTCAATTATTGTTTTTCTTTTCAAACTGCCAGCGAACGGCAGTAGTAAAACCTACGTGTAGAGTAACGTTTACACGTAGTCGTGTTTATCTGGCAAAATTAAAAAAGGAGGGTTCAGAGTCTTTTCGAGTAATTTGATGAAAATGTGTAATGACTTATGCTTACCACGGAAGCTGCTTATTGCGTGATTTCGGCGGCCATATTGTGGGGATCAATGTGTGCCAGTGGGTTGTAATTTGCAATTACATTCGGCAACTGCATTCGCAATCACTAGTCAATTTTAGATCTTTTTCCCTGTCTACTGAAAATGTTGATTGAGTTATTAGCTTCTCTCATTTTTTCTTTTGCAAATAAAGGTCATGATGTTCTTAACCCTTTCTAAAGTCCCAAGAGTGACCAACAGCAATTTTCTTCTAACAATTTCAATATGTAATTTAAAAAAACGTTTATGAGAATAAATAAAATGGCCACCTAAGGGAAAATTCTCTCAACTAATCCTGTAAGGAAATGTATAGAGATCAGTTTGGAGAATTTGTTTGTGGATAATGGAGCTTGAAGGGTTAAGGGGATGCGCCTCTTGTCTTTTCATAACGTTATGTTTACATATGCACGTGAATAAGGCAAAATTTTAGTTAAGCAACAGTTTTCCAAATACAAAAAATGCAAGCTAAAGGGGTCTATTGCTCGTACTTTCTTCGTCCTACACTGCTCCTGCACATGTTGTACACCGAAGTCACGTTTGAGTATAAAAAACTGAAAACGTCACGAGGGATACAATCCACTTAGAAGACCGTTTTCACTCGTTTCTAATGCAATAATTATAATTATGTATAAATATTATAGATACCTTGTAATTTCAATCGCAGTTCCAGATGAACCATTGTTTTTTGCAGAGTTTGATAAATGTCTCAGAAATGACTCAATTTTAGTATCACTTAAGCAACACCTTTGAAAAGAAATGGAAGGAGTAAAAAGAAACGCTTATTGGACTGCAGCTACAATAGCGGAAGTGGTAGCGGTTACTCTCACAAAAATTCAAAAAGTACTCCTTTTATTGCAACAATATTTCAAAGCAGAAGGTTAGCATTGTCAAACCAAACATCTCCAGCTTACAAATAACTGGTGATTCGTCCGCGCTCAGTACTGTATGCGATTCACGGAAGCACTAATGGGCTGATTTAGCAACAGAACGGAAACGTCTGTTGACGACTGGAAAGCGCGCGGAGAGGACTAAACGCGACTTCCTGTGCCCAATTTTCGACTCTGCCATTGGTCAAGCCAGTTGTTTGATCAGAGTGCGCGTGCCGTCGTCAGCTGACTTTCCCATTGTGTTGCTAAATCAGCCTAATGATAATTACCAATTCACCGACTGCATGATGTCTCGACATCGTTCATTTTCAGTAAACAAGGGCAATAATCGCACTGTAAATTTACATGTAATCAAGATCAAACATAACTCTGCGCTATGTGGTTGAAATGAAAGTAAATAAGTAAATAATAATTGTTATTAAAAAATTGCATCTCCTTGTGTTTCCAAATATTCGGCGATTGCAGGAGCAGAACCCTGTGCAATATCAACCCTCATCAATCACTAACAAAAAATTAATATTTCGTCTTTTGTGAGAGGACTTCTGGCTATATAGCCCTGCCTGTTTGAAAATTGATCAATTTAGTATACCTACTTTTCTATATCCTGTTCCAGTGCGATTCCATCCTTCCTGCTACACTTTGTTACTTCCACAATATCTCCCACAGCCAGCTGAAGATGAAATCCTTCATGATCAGTATCATTTTCGTTGAGAAAGTTAACACTGAGTTCAGACAGCGAAAAACTGCCGGTATCCCCTTGTCTTCTGTGATCTTCCTTTACGCACGCATTTGCTGTCTTATTAGATTTCCATACCACAACGCCTCGTACTCTATGTTGTCTTCCTTGATCAAGGTCCAAATCAGAAAGATCTTCTTCACTCTCCGAGTCATCTGCAAATTGTTTGAGTTCAACAAAGAACTCTTTGGACTGAGAAACAGATGTAAGGTGTAAGCGCTCTGACTTCTTTTTTTCTATAAAACATTTAACCAATTTGTAGCGCAATTTGTACGTTGTGTGATGTTGTTCAAGTTTGTAGTCACGATGTACAAATTCGGATAGAACCGGCTTCGCATTTGTCAAAAAGCCCTCAAAATCTTCCTCCAGTGTGCCAAATAAAGAAGGATTGGAGCAAATACCTGATTCTTGCATATATTCTACAAGTTTCTTAGCCCCATCTGATGCCATTTTCAATTCGTATTGATATAATTCATTTACAGAATAATATGAATGTTAATAGCAACATGACGAATAACTTTTCCTATGGGAGGGGGATGTGGTTTATTCCATGCACGTCACTTCAACAGTTCTGTTAGAGATTTTTTCCAAAAAAAAGTTTTAAGGAGCTTTTACTGTGCTATGTAAAAAATTTTTCTCTTGTCCATAAAAAATAATAGAAATAATCGTCGCTCAAGGCAAGCCCAAAAATAATTTCTGCATCTCACCTCCGGTTGGTCGCCGATGACATGTTAATGAACCATCTTTTCCGAGAATTGTAAAAACCACAAAGGTCATTTCCGGAATCTCTCATTCCATAGACTACGGCGGCCGTCAGTGGCCATCTAAAATCAAACCTGACGCAATTTACGAACTAAGAAGTCGATTCAAACAGCCTATTTTAAACCTGACAACTTCTATCCTTTTAGTTTGCACATTACTGTCAGCGAGTACCACTCTTTGTTGAAAGGACACTAGACTAAACTATCAGCCTTCATAATTGATCCTAGATATGATGCTATCTGTGACGGTACAGACATAACTGACTAACTGTGAATGAGGGCAATCTCTGACTTTTGCCACCGAACATAGGAACTTCAGCTGCTATGGAAACATCTTCAATAGATTGCAGTTTTCAGGTATACGTCACAGCCACTGTTTTTTTTATCCCAGAGGAACTTGCAGGCATCCGCTAGAGATGAAGATACGCGAGAGTGGCCTACATTCCCAATTCCGCGACTTATTTTAGCAGCTTCCTCCAAACTGTCTACAGTGTTTGGTCCTGAGAATGCTTGACTTCATTTCCTGGTGCAGTTGGTCCAGCCGTCTTGGAGCCTTGTTACCCTTATATACATGGTTTCAGGTGGACTAAGGAGCTGTGAAACAAGTCACGAGTACATTCAACACAAGATTACTGAACAAATCAGGTTGTTACAACCACCTTTCCTCGCTGGATGGCGTTCCCCGAATTTGGACAGGCCAACAATTAAATTTGTAAAGCTCGCCGAAAGACTAAAACTTTCTTGATGACAGCCTTTGGTACTCGTCGAGTTTTTCTTTTAACTTACCTGCGATTTTTTTTTTTTTGCGGGGTCGGTTTTTTTTTCCGGGTGCTTTATTTCCAAGATATTGCGATTATTGTTTAAAAAAAGGGTTCCCTAAAATTTTGGTATGAAGATAAAACTAATTTCTTTACACTAAGTCCCGAACTTTCGACCGAATCCATCAAGAAAGCTGAAACTTTCGGATGAGCAGCTACAAATTAACCAAACAGGTGTCTAAGGCATAGAGAAAACCATTTGAGGCACTTCTGATGTATTGGGAAACGGACGTTTGGTGTGCCCCTGACGGTCTCATTAATAGTGATTCTTTGCACGGATCCTGAATTAAAAACGTGACTGAAGATTACGTTTGGGTCAAGGTAAATGCCATAATCTTCCTTATTTCAGTGAATTATCTCAGCATTTTTAAGTTACAAAATCTGTAGATCTTCATTACTCCGCTTATTTTATTCCATCTGTTTAATAAGCTAAACGTTCTACAGAAATGATGCTTTTAACGTTAATCCTTTCAATCGTTTTGATGCCGCATGTGATGGAAACAGTGACACCACAGAAACAAAAGCAGTTGGATTCCAAAGCGATTCCATGTAACATCAACAACAACTTGTACGCTGCAGGTCCAAATAAAAAGGTTGGGGATATGATCATCGAGATGAATAGAAAACTAGACGACATTCAAAACAAGCTAAAAAATTTAACACAGAAAGAAAACAACGGTAAAGGTTAGTGCTGTTAGTCATGCCACTTTCTTTTTCAAGTCTTTTGGTGAAAGTGTGAGCGACAGAAAAGGAATTGCTGCCCGGTAAGAGAGTAGAGATTTAATTGAAAAATGAGTAGGATGGCATTAATTAACAAGCCTTGGACCGTGTAACTTAAAAACCAGGTTGTAATGGTAGTCCTGTTCAGTTAGTCCTGTATTCTGATTGGCAAACGCAGCACAGAGTACCTAAAGAGAAACCTGTATCTAAAGCGGACCCATTATGAGCGGACACTTTGTGTGTGGTTCCTGAATCGAACTCTTCTGTATTTAGCGAAATCTTCTTTTAACCGGGTACTGGCGAAGGTTCCTAGTGTGTTAGCTTGTGAATAGCTAACATTGAGTTTCTCCTAACAATACATAATCGAGAGAAAAGGTATAAGAATTTACCAAATGCAAAAATGTTGTATCTCTTAACAAATTGTCTTAACTCATTCCATTAAAGGAAGTATAAATATATGGAGGCCAGTACAGTCTAGAGACAGTCGCGCGTGGATATTCAGGTTATTGAGTTTATACAAGATTTACGAAATTGTGATGTTTCGCACAGTATAAAACAAGTCTTTTCGACTGTTCAAGAACAGGAATTTGTTTAGCTGTACTGGCCCCACTTAACGTTTCATCGTGTAACAGGATCTTTGAAATGACATTTGGCAGGTTTTCATCACCACAAAAACTGCGCTGAACTGTACAAATCCGGTGAACGTGCAAACGGTGTTTACACGATTGACCCCGATGGTACAGGTCCCTTTGATATATTTTGTGACCAAACAACAGCTGGCGGCGGGTGGATTGTGTTCCAAAAGCGACTTGATGGCTCGGTTGATTTCTATCGCGGTTGGACAGACTACAAAGTTGGCTTCGGTAACTTGAATGGTGAGTTTTGGCTGGGACTAGACAAGATAAACAGGTTGACGAAAACAGGAAACAGACTTCGAGTAGACCTGGAAGATACTAGAGGCAAAGCTGTCTACGCTGAATACGATATGTTTGCAGTTACCAGTGAGAGGACTAAGTACAAGCTAAGTCTTGGAACATACTCAGGTAAGTCTAATTTTGAGGTTAAATGTTCCTTTCTGCCTGCAATCGGTGACAACAGTGCTGAGGCAGTGTGGTTAAATGGGGGCATATTTCGGAGAGCAAAACAACCTGACCCTTTCCTAACCCTCCACTTAAAGTTAGGTTTAGTATTGTTTGCTGCAGGTGGCCAATGGACAGTGGAACGGCATTCATAAGTCGGGGTTGGTAGGGAAAGCTTCAATTTTCCTTTTCGAAGTGAGTAATGGCGCGCAAAAACGACGAGCAGAA